GTGTGTGTGTGTGTGTGTGTGTGTGTGGATGTGGTGGCAGATGGTGCGGAGGATGGCGAGCCGCTGGGTGGAGAGGGTGCTCCCATCCGTCATGTGCAGCACAATTGGGCTTGGCGAGACGGGGATGGCGGCGGTGGAGCGGAGGTCTGCCCGCTGCAGCCGCACGCGAATGCTGGACTGGATGACAGCTCGTCTCTGTGATGAGGAGGTTGCCAATGGTGATGTTGTCGATGGGCAGGGTGCTGAGGTCGCGGTCCTGCGCCACGACGAGCACGTCCACCACGTCAAGCGCCGTCTCCGTGTCAATGGTGTCTGGGAAGAGCTGGCTGGACAGCGTACGTGGATGTGCGGTTGTCGCTGCTGAGCATGCTGTCGGGCGCAGTGCACGCGCACGCGTACGAGCCGTTGGTGTTGATGCACTGCTGCAGGCTGCTGAGGGCGCGACGGGCCTGCGCCACCGACGCGCACTCGTCAGTGTCCACGCAGGTTGCCGATGGCGCACCGAGCCTGCCGCTGGCGGTGCAGGTGCGAAAGACCAGCGCCGGCCCGTCCTCGCTGGCGGAGCTGCGAAACCCAGAGAAACACAGGAAGACGGCACGCTCGTCGTAGGCAATGATGATGTCTGGCGGCTCGGGGAACAGCTGCGCGCTGAACTGCGGGGTGGTGTCTTGCGTGACGTTGCAGGTGATGAGGTGCTGCCATTGCGGGCCAGTAAATCCTGTTCCTGTTCGGTTGCTCGCTGTCTGAACCCCTGTGGAAGACTGCGTAGATGAGTCTGCCACGTGCACCGCGCCGTCGTATGGCGCAGGAAAGGAATGCGCTGTATCTGTATGCAAGTGAAGGCGCGTGCGTCGCGGGAGAGGACGTGAGGACGTGAGGGGGGAGGCGGGGAGTGAAGAAGGCGAACTGCATGCGTACACATGCGCGGCGATTCACACACACGCACGCACATACACACACACAGAGACACACAGACACACAGACACACGCACGCACGCGCGCACGCACTCATGTACACAACTACCTACACACACGCACATCCCTGCATACACATTTGCATACACGCAGATATGCACACACCTGGGCAGAGAAGAGCCTTCTGTCTGCTACTTTGAACCGGCGGTGGTTGCGAGCATCATCGTCGCTGCCCTGAAGCGCGCTTGGATTCAAAAGCCCGCCCAATCCTCGATGCCACAGCCAAAGACACGCACGCACACACACACGCACACACACATACGCGCACACACACACGCACACATACGCGCACACACACACGCATACACGCACACACGCACACATACGCGCACACAGGCACACATACGCGCACACACGCACACACGCACGCATACGCAGAGGTGAGTGAGCAGATAGGACGTCATGTCATCGAGCATGCGCTGAACTCCACAACCACAGCACACTGAAACACTGATAGTGATGTGCATAGCAGTCGCTTACCGACAGCCGAGCATGTGAATCTCGTCCGTCCCAAGCTGCCTGTCTGCAAGCGCTGCATACACTGAGAGTGATACTGGTGGTGCAGCAGTGTTTGCCGATTGTGCTGCTGTTGCTGCTGCGGCCGCTGCTGTTGAGACGGCGCGAATGATGAGGATGACGACGACGATGCTGATGATGATGGTGATGCCAGCAAGGGAGTCGGTGACGGAAAGGCTGCCACTGATGTGTGTGAGAATGGCCGTGGCGCTGTCGCTGTAGGCGTCAAAGACATGGGTGACGGCGGCGCCGTGTTGGGGAAGGAAGGTGGCGACGTCCCGGCTCCCATCGTCGTCATGTGCGCGGGGACAACCCCTACTGCTGCAGCTGCTTCAACTGCCATCACAGCTGTTGCCGTTGTTGCTGCCGTTGTTGCCGTTGCTGCAGACAATGCTGCCATTGACGTCTGCCATCCCGCTCCAGTCATTGGTAGTTGCAGCGGCGTCAATATGCTTGTGATGACCGGTGTCGTTGACAAGCTCGGCATCATGGCATGCATCAGAGGCGGTGGCGCTGCTGGCCCGTGTACAGGTGCAGGCAGTGCTGGTGGGAATGGGCCTGATGCGCCCCGAGTAGGGGTTGTATGAGTGGTGCCGCGTTCACGAAGACCGGTTGTGGTGGCTGTGGTGGTTGTGATAATGGCGGCGCGGTTGCATCTGCCGTAGGTGCGCCGCCTCTGCCGCGTGCTATCCCCCGTACACTCGCTCTCCCTCCACCTCGTCGACCACCCCGACCACCACCTTCACCACGTCCCCTGCCTCTACCCCTGCCTCGACCCCTGCCCCTGCGATTACGCGTGCGGTTGCGTGGTTGTCGCTCCAGTCTGTTCTCCTGCGGTCGCCCGGGCTGTATGACTGCAGGTGGTGGCAGCATGTCGCAAGGCACGCTCGACGCCTCCAACGGCACATGCAGGCCAAAGTCATGCCAGGCTTGCACGTAGACGGCTTGCTTGAACATGTCGTGGATCTACTTGTATGTGTGTATGTGTGTGTGCGTGCGTGTGCGTGTCAGCAAGCACGCAAATGCATGTGCATGTGTGTATGTGTGTGTGTGTGTGCATGTGTGTGTGTGTGTCTGCGTGCTCGTATGTGTGTTGATAATTGGACTCATTCACATCAATTTCTCTAGCCAAGTTCGTGAGACGTACGGTGTGAGCGCGAGGATGGTTGATTGCAACGATGTGTTTGCAGGGAAGCCCGCTGTAGTTCTTGCAGACGCCATTCGCTACAGTCACTGTCTGTATGGGGATGACACATGGCAAATGGAAGGGTGGTTGTGGGCGGTAGGGCTGGATAGGCACGGAGGTACGTAACCGAGATACACGCATGCAGGTGTACGAGAACACACTACGCATACAGTACACATGCGCACACTCAAACACAACACATGTGCACAATAAAGACACGCACAGACTCGCACATGCACATACGCATGCACATACGCATGCACGTGCGTGTATTCAAACATATCGATGTCACGACACCACCACCGCGCAACCCTCTGTCGTACCGGTTGGTGGGGTTGCACATTGGGTCTGTGGACGTGCACTCGACCATGTCCAATGTCCAAAGCCGCGAGTCCAGCAGCAGCGCCCCAGCTCGCAGCAACCTCCTCGGCAGCAAAACTTGTGAGAGGAGAGCTGTGTGTCTCGGCATGCGCCAGCACATCCAAACGTCGCCTGGCCATCCAGTGCGTGATTGCGACCATTATAGACACCGGCCCAAACTATTGCAACGAGGTACGTGTTGATGGGTAGTCATCGGTTTCATGCGGGTGTGAAAGAGAGTGGGTTGGTTTGGTGCGAGCGTCAGTACAAGTGCGAAAGAGTGAGTCAGTGAGAGTACTTGAGCGTGTGCATGTGTAAATGCGTGCAATGCGTGAGTGAGTGCATCCATCAGTACGTTCATTCACC